GGTCTCTCTGTGGCTTCTCCCGCTTCTGAGGTCTGGTTGAGTCCATGTGGCTTGCCTTTTGCAAAGTCTCCCAAGGAGTAGCAGAGAGAGAGGTGTCTTCTGCCTCCAAGGCAGAAGTACCAGATTTCCCAGAATTCTCAGGAGAAGGCTATGCTCACATAGAAGTCTCATTGGCTATTTCCACATTGACATCCTAGACTCCATCCCTACACCCTTAATCCTTAACTTGACACCAGATTAGGTGACTACCACAGGCTCATAATCCATAACAAGCCCACTTATTTTCTCCCTGCCACCCCCCCACACCAATCTAATACCCAAAGCTCTACCCAATGGGTAGAGATCTATTTCTAAAACATGAATATATAAAAATCACTTTTGCTTCTAGGCTCTCAAGGAAATGCTCACTGTAAACTCCATCCTATTATCTCACCTTCCCCAAATTAGTCTTCTTCTGGGCTCTCAGTCACACCAAGGTCTCTCTTGCACTGTCGCCTCTTCCCAGCCCTGAACTGCCAAGTTCAAAGTTACAGTTGATCTCCATGATCCTGAATTTTAAGAACCGTGCGTGCGTGCGTGCAGTGTTTGTAGAACTTCTGGGTTTTGGAGCCGTTTGTTATGCAACCTCATTTTATAAACGACTGGCTAATTAATGCAGCATTCATTTGCCCTTCTTCCACTCACAGCACATGGTTTGTATCTTTGGGATCACTCTTCCACCATGCTCCATCTCCACACTTCTGGTGGCATTGACCCAATCTGCCAGCTCCAGGCCTGGCTAGTCAGGGCATTACTTTCCTCTGTCCAAAGGGACTGGGTCAAACTCAGTATGTGACTCATGGTAGGTTAATGAGATCTAACCCTAGAAAATGCACCAGAAACAATTACCCCCTTGCCAATGAATCCATTTTGATTCATAGCAGCCCTCTTTGGGGTTTCTCAGACTGTAAATTTTTATGTGAGCAGACAGTTCCATCTTTTTCCCCAAGGAGCAGCTGGTGGGTTAGAACTGCTAACCTTCCAGTTAGCAATCCAATGCTTACTTGATAGTGCCACCAATTATTAGAAAGGAAAAAAAGCCTCTCTCTAATAGAATTCTTGAGCTTCTAGATAAAACCAGAGCTGCCATCAGGAAGCTTGCATGAAACTCAAAAGGAAACAGCACTGAAAGAAAAGGTTCAAAATCTGATGGTATCAACTGAGTGCCAGAACCCAGCTATTCCTGATGCTGTCCCCAGACTTACAAATTCCATGAACCTACCCATTCATTCCTTCTCCTACTCCTTCCCATCCCACTCCCCAAGGTATTTTGACGTACCTTTGAAGGCACTCACAACTTCAAGGGTTCTGCCTTGCACAGGTGTCTGCTTGCTTCCAGTTCAGTCCTGACATTATCCCTATCTTTAGCCATGAGCCCTAGAGCTTTCCTTTTGTTGTCTCCCTATTGCTCTTGTCCTATGGAGTCTGTGGCTTTATCTTTAAGTCGAAGTCCTGTCCTTTCGCTTTCGTAGAAATCTGTCTCTGCATCTTGGCTTGTGGCAAGTTGTATGCTTCAAATATGACTGTCCCAATATTTCACATCTCACATTCTCGTTATAAGATGAGTTTGTAACTCATCTCTTTTCCAGAAACAGGGCCCGTTTTCCCTCTTCCTTGCATCTTGGCAGACCATTGACTGTGGCAGAGTGTTGCTCTGTGACTTCCACCTGGTCATATTGGGTTGTTCACCATTGGGACCCAGCCATGATGTTGCAGGGAAGACCAAGCCAAATGAAAATGTCACATATAGGGGTTCTTGCTGAGCTCTAACCAACAGAAGTGTCAGTCGTGTGAGTGAGCCTTAAGAGAACTGCAGCTTCCGACCTTTGAGCCACTCCAGCTAATGCTTGATGAAGCAGAAACTAGTGTCCTCACTGAGCCCTCCCCAGATTACAGATGTGTGAGCAAAATTGAAAGTTTCATTACTTTAAGATGTTATTTGTGGGGATACTTTCTGTTAGCAGTAGATCTTCAGAATACTGCCAAATCAGACTGCATTGCCATTTTTACTCTCT